TATATATATATATATATATATATATATATTCACTTTCAGTTTTATTTTATTTTGGTATGATGATGATATCAGCTGAGCTTAAAGAAAGAAGCGGGGATTCATGTCGCCGGCCCCAACTTGTTTGGGACTTAGGCATAGTTGTTTTTGTTGCATCTATGGAGATCGAAAAAGTGAATTTCCTCAGTGAGTAGCAAAGCTGCCCGATAAGTCATTTGCACCGTGTCCTTTCAGATGAACGTTTCCTGATCATTCTCTGAAGGTATAGTTAATAGAAAGCTCTCCCTTTCTTTCTTCTTTCTGAGCCAGTATTATATGGTTCAACTGACTCACTTCTTCATTTCCAATTCTGGAACTTTTTTGTTGATTCCTCCGCCTCCCTTTTCCCCGCTTCTAGTATCTTTTCTTTTGGAGTTATAAATTTGTTTGTCCCCTGTGAGTACTAAAAGAACTCATGTTTTACTTGGTGTATCCTCTATATTTTAACTTACTCTATATCTGGTAATTGGATATGCAGAAGAAATTATTTAAATGCTCCTGGACTGATATTAACATCATTCTTAACAAGATATTAGATCCATATTATGTCCAATCTTTATTTTACTTTAATGCAAAATTTGGTTCATGATTGGATTTTGTTGAAGATTGCCTTTTAAATCTAGTGAAAATGTGCTGGCTTTCGCTCTAGAGAAACTAATAGATATATATTTGTCGATCTAGTAGTACTATATTAGAACACTACTCTCGCAAGATTCAATAATTTTCTGCGAAAGATAAATGTAGAGGGCCAAAAGTACTCTGTAAATAAGTTGCAAAACTATTCTTTTGTTATTTGGATGGTCAAAAGCAATAAGTGATGGTAATCAGCTTTCCAAATTCCATGAATTTGGCATTCCTTAGATTACCACACTCAACATTGTCTCATCATCTCTGTCATCCTTGGATATACATGTTAATCTCTTTTCGTTCTGTGCTTTGCTAATCTTAATTGCAGCTTAGAATAGATGATATATTGATTCGAGGATTGAAGTGGAGCAAGCTGCTTGATCCTGACAAGAGAGGCCAGTGGTGGATAGCTGGGAATATTGATTCCACAACAACTGATATTCAAGATGTTGCCAGCACAATTGACTTGGAGGTCACGGAGGCTCAAAAGATGCTCCAGCTTGCCGCTGCTCAGAGGATGAACACTGATGCAAGAAGGGCAATATTCTGTGTAATAATGAGTGGGGAGGACTATATTGATGCATTTGAGAAACTTCTAAGATTGGATTTGTCAGGCAAGCAGGTTGGCACCCCTTGGTTGAATTCCATATCATTTATTGTTGTGCTTGTCTATCGGAAACGGCCTCTCTACCTCACACTAGGTAGGGGTAAGGTCTGCGTACACTCTACCGTCCCCAAACCACACTTGTGGGATCACACTGGCTTTGTTGTTGTTGTTGTTGTTGTTATTGTTGTGCTTCAAGTGTGCAAATTCTTTAATATCTATACATGCAGGATAGGGAAATCATGAGAGTTTTGGTAGAATGCTGTT